ATATTTGCTGTGATAAAATAATTGATAAGTGATACCAGAGACACTGTGATATCAAGTCTGTGGTCAAATTAGAAAACCGTTTATAACGCTATTAGTGGCAAAGTAGTATCATAGATAATACCTTTTTCTTTATGACATCTCCTCCCATGCCATATTTCTGCGCACGCCACTGATGACGCGTTTGGTGCGAAAATGCGATCGAACCGCGTCTGACAGCATTACGACGCGCGTATTGCGAGCAGTAGTCAACCGTACCGTACCGTCGAGCCTTCGGATTCGGACGTTTTTATGATTCAGACGGTGACGGTGATGAGTCGAGTAGTATGTACGCGATGGGAAAACGTCTGGTTGTAGGTGTGCGCACACTCCTGTTTCAGGTGTGGCTTTTATTTATGTTTTTTTATAGACCCTTACAAAATTCTTCCTTAAAAAAAAAAAATAATAATAATATATAAAACAGACATGCAGAACATGGGCATGTAGAAATAAATGGAACCATTAAAAACTGATATACAGTAAAATCAATGCAAACATAACGTGAATTAATATTACAATTGTTTAAAATAGGTACCAATCTTCGTCCTTCTGCTATTGAGTTCTAGAACTCTTCGATCGCTTCATCATTACTGATTGAATTAATTACCTCTTGTTCAACAACCATCTATAATAACGCAATCAGACGTTGTTGATTCATCTCAAACCGTAACTTTATCTTCACCATACTTAATTTTGAAAAGGAACGTTCACAAGATTTTATGTATCGTTCCCTGTAAAACATAGTTTAGATTGGATCTGGCTTTGCCACAAAAGTGGCAAATTCTTAATTTAGAGAAGACATTTTATACAGGTTATAAATAATTAACAATAAGAACTAAGAATCCTAGGATTTTTTGATTTATAGATACTAGTCTCCCGGAAAAAAAAATAATAAAACTCGAATACGTTGGCTTATGTAACTTACTATGTACAGGTTATGATAAAGTATTAAACAGTCAACTATTAAATAGTAAAAACATAAAACTGTTAATAGAACAAATGCTACAAAGCCACAATTTACTGAGCTTACCAAAATTAATATATTTTCTATAAATCTTACAGTCTGGAGTGTGATAACACTGCAGCACGCCCATAAATAATAAATATAATACATTCGTATTATCAATGATCAACGACAATTTTTACGATAGAAATGATAAGAAAATTTTTGATTTTCTAAAAAAAAACGAGTTATTCACTCTTTTTACCTAAATACCTGGTATCTACGGATTACCTAAAAACAAGTATCCGGTGTGGCAAAAGTCCAATAAGCCACACCTGTGCCTCTAGTCATAGTGTAGATATATATATATATATATGCGTATACAACATTCATAGGTATACAGAGATAACTTCATGTATACGAACAACGTCGGCGGGAGATTTTGCGGGGCCCTGGAAGTTTTTTTTCGTAAAGTTAAAAAAATATTTCTTAGTACTCGTACAACATGTTTTTCTATTTTACACAACTTACATAAAAATATATTTTCCGCGGTATAGATATTATGTTCTATCGTCAAAGCGTCAAAACTATATTATTGTGTATTACCATAGGCTCGCGAATCGTTAAATCCCACGAAAGGCGCGTGGCCCCTAAAAACGAAGGGACCTAATATAGCAGCTGCTATGCGTGTGAAAGCTGTTCTCGATCCGAATAGAACAACGCGCGCGAGCTCGTATGACCGTATCATATTGATCGGCTGCACTTTATCAGCCGTTGTTGGTCCGTATCACACGCGAGTGCACACTGCACACGCGAATCGCTGAAATAGTTTTGGTCCGATCTTTGCTCGAACGCGCGGCCCAGGCTAACTCATTTCAACCGGCACATAACGTCCATACATAGCTGTACGTACACATTTAGTCATATTTTATATATTGTCCTATATACGCATCAATCGTGATATCACATAAAATCACGACATACGTACTAACCACGCGATCGCGCACACATATAATGGCGTAACTTAGAGGGGGAAAAAATTTAAACTCCCTCGCCTTTGACCTTTTTTTTTCAGCTTATAAAACCCTCCGAGAAAAATTAACACTGCTCGGAACAACAGCGACCACTGAATGGTAATTTCTGTGATAAAAAAGACGTGAAGCATACCTCAGAAACACTGTGAAGGAGAAAACAGATCGAACAGTCTAGTATTGTTCGTCGTGGAATAATGAATTTGCCTGAGACTCCAATAGAATAAAACTGTTGTTATTTAGGTACAAATAAATGAACTATGTACTTCTGGTTATAAAGAAATACCATAACCAACTATTGCATGTGTAAGGAATAATTTACGTTTACAAATATTTGATTGATCAATTGTTTTTCGTTTGAGAAAGGTATACTGGTGGAATTTCGGTAAAGTAAGTACGATTCATATTATGTGCAAATTCTATGCATAGGGTTTTACTCCCCCCCCCCCCCATCACTCATTGACTAATATTCTTGACTTTATCACTGTTTATGGTAACTCACTTTTACTTTAATGACAAAACGTACATATTTTAAGTTAAAACGTAACATTCAAGATGCATTTAAAATACGAATAAAATATTTACCATACGTTTAAACATTTCTTAAGGGACAAAAGTATTGTACGTAAGTATTATTACGATTGAATAATGATTATAGAAAGAAAAACAGAAGAAGTTTAAGAGATGGAATCATCATCCATATACCATTACCGTGAACATGCAACTGTACACACACACACACACACACACACACACATTGCGGTCGATTTACTCGCGACATTAGAATAATTTATGCGTACACCTCTTCGCACGTGTCCAACTATTATATTACTGCAGTACGGTGTGTACGCACACACATAGCCCTGTTGTACAAATATACACTCGTAACGTAAACGACGATGATAATAATAGTACAATAATCGTAATATAACGCTGGTGTGGGTACCGTAGACGAGCGGTGTTCGCAATACGAGTACAAACACATCGGCGTGGAACTCGAGAGATAATTGTGAAAGCGACGAGAGCGTATATTATAATAACACAATGGCCTACATATAATAAATATATATCACTAAGACGATGGGATGTAAAAAAAAAAAAAAAAAACGAACACTGCTTACCCGTAAAAATCGTCTTCCCGAACACCGTGACCGCGAACGTGTTCAAAAATATTACGTCCGATTCGAATGCGGGTGCGAGCGTTTTGGAGGATAGGTGCGGTTCGAAGTGAACTCCGTCCGTGGCTTCGCACTAATTGGGAACCACTGCTTTGATGGGACGCACCACTCTGCGCACGAGTTCTTTAAACGTATAACGTATGGCATAACTGCGCACGTGGGATCGCGCGATTTGGAATCGGATTCGATATTATGTTTAAACGATTTTACATCTCAATAGTTTTTTTTTTTTTTTTTTTCGCGAAGACTGAGCCGCACAGGGTGACCAGAAGTCGTAGACCGCCGTACGTTTTTATAATCGCGAAAATTAACAGGTTTCAACGAACTGAAAAAAAAAACATCGATACGAAGTTTGATATTTTTCGACCGAAAATAAAATTTAAAGTAACGAAATTGACGTGATCGCATAAGAATCTATCGCGAACAGGACCCTTGATCCGCATTATTGTCGCACTCGGCCTTCCGCCGGAATAATGTGATATAGTTCATCAGCGTCTTGCCGTCGCGTAAATATAACTACGGGAAGAAATGCGTAGGCGGACAATTAATATCAATTATAATAATGGCAGTAAAACAAAACAAAAACAACGTAGACACAAAATGTGTAGGCAAGCAGGCAAAAGTAGTGACGGCAGAGGCGGTTCGATCATGAATTTTGTGGTTCACTGAACTATCAAAAATTTTGGGGTTGGTGTCATTTTAATAGGTGGGTACATGGTCTTAGCATCTGGCAGCGGTAGGTAATATAAAATTGATAATTTGATAAGAATTAGGTAAGTTTTTAATAATATGACTTTTTGGTAGGTAGTTGAATGGGTGGTATGATTGAACCACTAACTGAAAAATATCAAACCACCTATGGGTGACGGTGTTCCGACGGCGTAGGTTTATCCGGTCGAAGGAACATTTTGATTGGTGATGAGAATAATTGAAGGATTTTAACAATCGAAAAAATAAATAATCGAATGATTAATAGTCGAAATTAAATAATTAAATTATTAGTACTCCGATTAAAGAAAATCAAATGAGTAATATCTAGAATTGTCGACCAAAATATGTTTGTACGTGTAAATCGATTTTAATCAATTAAATCAAGTACTCAAGCTTATTTCACTGCTTTATTGAATATTAAATGTTAAAACTATGTATAGAAGGGAGCCGAATATATCCGATGGAAAATACTAGAAAATAAGATAGTTTAAATGGATAACTATATAATTTCATTGGTTTGATATTTTATAATCATGTTAACTACACATTATACGAATCGGTAACCACGACTTTTCTCAAGTACTCGGCATTTTTTAAGCACTCAAACTTTGAACTCGACTCGACATCAAAAAACAATACTCGTCCAATTCTAACAATATTACCAATAACCGATTGGCTCAATCGAATCCATTACGATCCTTACCGGTCGCTTTGGTGTTATTTCACATCGGTTTTATCCTTTTATTTATCCTTTTTTTATAGATTTGGACGCTTAGTTTAGAGCTAATCAGTAGGACGTTTTGGTTGGTTCTGGCACCGTAGGATTTTAATCATGCATTGCAGCAGACACTGCAGCCGATCCTGCGGAGCCAGTGTGTACTGAAACATCCTATTCCCGTCCAACGTGGTAGCTACAGTTTTGGGAACCATACGATTTATACGTAGGCTGTCCGATAAATAAGGTACAAAGTTATTTTTAGCGTAAACAATGAACCATATCAGCCGGAAATTTCCAGAATTGATAATTTAGGTAACAAACGACATATTCTATGTGATATAACTATTATGGTTTAGTGTTCCGTCAGCTACGTAATTATAAACATGGAAAACCAGTATCTATGTTGCACAAAAGAAGAAGTCCGCGCCGTCATTCGGTTTTTTAATTTTCAAAATATTTCTCCGATTGAAATTCATCGAAAAATAACCGAAGTTTATGGCCCACAAGTAATGTCTCGAAAAAGTGTATCGGTTTGGTGTACAAAATTTAATTCAGGTCGAGAAAGTGTTGAAGATGAGGCAAGAAGTGGTCGACCAATAAGCACGTCCACCGCCGAAACCATTGATGCAGTCGAAAAACTGCTACGATCGGATAGACGACTCAAGATTAGGGAAATGGCCACAAAACTTGATCTCCCAAAGACTACTGTGCATGAAATTGTTCATGAGAAATTAAATTTTCGTAAGGTTTGTGCGCGCTGGGTACCGAAAATGCTTACAGCAGACCACAAAACCAAACGTATGCGGATATCCATAGAGCATTTGAATCGTGCTCGTAATGACGAAAGCTTCCTCGATCACCTCATTACAGATGAGACATGGGTTCATTATTCTACCCCTTAAACAAACGAGACTCGATGACTTGGAAACATCCCGAATCGCCAGTTCCAAAAAAATTCAAACAAACAATTTCCTTAAAAAAAGTGATGGCTACTGTGTTTTGGGATGCACAAGGAATTTTACTGATTGAATTTTTATCAAAAAATGAAACAATAAATGCTGACCGATACATTGAAACGTTAAAAAAATTGAAAGAAAAAATTCGTTTCAAGAGAAGAGGACAATTACGCTCAGGAAATGTGAAACTGCTGCATGACAATGCAACCCCACATTCAGCCGGAAAAACCAAAGCTTGGCTGGAAAAATACAAGTGGGAAGTATTGGAACATCCACCATATAGTCCTGATCTGGCACCTTCGGATTTTTTTTTGTTTGGTCCGTTAAAAAAACACTTAGGAGGAACTCATTTTCAAAATGAGGAGGAGGTCATGAACGCAGTTACCGAGTACTTCGATGGAAAATGTGCTGCGTATTTCCGAGATGGCATTTTCAAATTACTCCATCGTTGGGAAAAATGCATCAATTTAAATGGTGACTATGTAGAAAAATAGAAAAATATGTCTAATTTATTGTGTAAAATTTTTAAAGTAATAAATTGATTTTTCATTATTCAGTATATTTTTGTACCTTATTTATCGGACAGCCTACGTACGTGATGCAATACATACAACTTGTGTGCTTAGGATGGTATGCAAGTCGGATACGAGTCTTTAATCGTATACGAAATCGTGGCACCGTTGTCTCGGCCGTGGCTCAGAGGTGGTTCTAACTTTTTAATGCATTTAACTGGAGCGGATCGAATATGACCAACCACTTACCTAAGAGATAATGATTTACACGGTTTACGTTCACAAATTATCATTAAATATTTTCCCAAATCAATTGGTACACCAACATTTTATAAAAAAAAAAAATCAATAAAAATCTTGTGCTTATTTTATGAGTTTTTTCACAATTTTTTTATTTTTTTTTTTACCGGGACGGTGCTCTTTTCACTCGTCAAAAGCTTCTCGCAAGCCGTGCCCGCCGCAGTAATAACGATATAAGTACAAATAATAATTCCATGTTTTAATTACCAGATCACATTATTTAACAGGTCCGATTACATCGTGATGGTCTCGCACGATGTGCACTTATTTTTTCTGCTTTGTTTTTGCGCGGAACCACCCATTGCGGTATTCAAGTACGACGTGCATAACGTGAGCATAATTATTCACCATCGGTTTATCGACTAACAACGGCGGGGCGACTCTATACCAACACGTTTGCCCAAGGCGGTAAAATACCTGTGATCTATTCAGTCCTTCGGGTTAGGTTGGACTAGAATATATTATTATAATGTACGCAAACGTCGCCGAAATGACGATTTAGTGGACGTGCACGTGGTGAAGACCATTGAAACGAAACTGCGCGAGCGCAGAGAAAACGCGATAACCTCATTTGGGTGAAAAATATTGAATAATGGATCCAACGTTTACGTACATGATAAATACTTAAGGAGTCGTCAACCAGTCGATCTCAATCGACTGGTCGATCGTTCTAGAAATATAGGTTGACCGTAATAAAAAGTTAGAAAAAAAATTCAAAATCACATTAATAAACTTACATTTATTTTTCTTTTTTTATTCATTTTTCTTGTGCCCTATTAGAATATTAGGTAAACAATATAAAGTTGGAAGATCACCAGATACTTAAAATGTCGAATGTAGCTCACTTATTTGAAAAGGTTTGCGAAACCTGGTATACAAGTATTTTAATAGCAATCGATTAATTATATTAGTAAGATGTTGTATGGGTAGCAAGGGTACTCGTCATCGCGTGTTTATCTGATAAGTTTGGAGAATTGTTATTGGAAGAACTCGGTGAGCTTGAAAATCATAAAAGTGTCCAAAATCCACACCTTGATTTTGGTCAGCGGATCTTTCAACTAACGATAGTATCGGTTATTGATCAGCCGGTATGAAATGCTTAGATTTAATTTAGCTGTAAATATTACATAACTCACCAATTTTTAGATTCCAAAAAGGAAAAGGTGTCTGCATGAAATGATTTCACACTCGTTTTTTTTTTTTTTTTTTTTGTTTTATCATATATTTTTAATAACAATTCAATTCAACTATAAAAAAAAAATTAAGATAAAACAATAATAATAATTATCTTTACAAAATAATAATTACTATAAATAATAAAATATTATAACTAACTCTATGTATAGGTATAAACGCACACATTTATAAAATGTTACATACGATTTTCATATTTGGTATAATATTAAAAACATTATAAATTATTTTCCGAGTTTCTTATTAAACACGGTATTATTTTAAACAAGTCTAAGTAATCAGATACATCTCTTAATTAACACACTGCACTGGTAGGTAATCATTAGTGTAATAACATAAAGGTTGCCTTCTCGATTTTTGAATTTTCTATCCGAACGCATCGCGTTGGTAGGTACATGATAATATTGTTATAAATCGAGTCCGACGAAATAAAATAATTATGTAATATACAATAACTATACAAATGGTATTAATTTAATATTATAAATATGCAATCACTACAAACAATGAACTTATAGGTTAAGTTCCTAAACATGGACACACACACACACACACAGCTAAATAAGTACCTACTAATAAGTACATATATGTATATGTAATACGATAATAGTAAAAATAGAAACGGACATTAAAAAAATTTTTGTTCGACTCTGATTTTCATTTAAATAAAAATCTACAAAAAAAGAAAAAAAAGCTATAGGAACATCGGTCTAAATTTTATAATAATGAATTTTAGCAAAAATAAAAAACACATCGTTTTGATGGTTGAAAATAAATCATATAGTTTCGGAATATTTCTAGAGTCGCATTTTTGTTCGAATAAATGCAAAAACAATTCACACGTGTTTGTATACGTGAATAATGTGTGCACGATATATATATATATATAGTACATATAGGTAGCCCTACACCTCTTCCTAAATAGAAACACATTTGCATATGTATAAGTATAAACACAATTATTCACCTAATTTAATTAGCTAGCACCTTTTTTGGTATTTGTAATGAATGTTCTCGTTTAAAACTAGTGCACTTTTTTTTTATTGCACCCGATAAAAAGACGACGAACGATAACGCTCTGAAATCCGAGTCGACCTCACTCTCTCTCGCCTCCCTAAGCACACACATATACATGTACATTTGATTCGCTACTTATAGATGCTAATCCCTAATAATACGAATGCTTGACTAGGTCGATTTGTGATATTTACACACTATGTACAATAAACGCACGTGGTATAATGTTGTGCGGTAGGTATACAGTGGCGGGAAGAGAAAATAAGCAGTGCTGACAAGGAATAAAAAGCTTCGAACATTTGGATTTCGTATGATAATAATAAAATAAACAAGTTAAAACTGGTTGCTTTCGTACAACGTAAAACTAATTTTCGTCCGTCGCCGCCATCGGACGGCTTCTCGCGACGACGTGTGATATCTGCGTGGTCGACCCGTTGCCATTTCTTCTGTTACACACGAAAAACTGCTGCAGTTCCTGTCATACATATACGGTTTTCATTTTTTAAATCCGTTTTCGCCACGTCTTTGCTTATCGACACACACCCACGCGTGGCTCACGCTGGGGAGTGCACGCGTTTCGAATAACAATGGCAACAATGATAATAACAATCAATAGTGTTCGAGGGATTTTAGTTAGGGTATTCACTATTATACCGATACTAAAAAAAATCAACACTGAAACTTTGGGCAAAGGAAAATATTTCCGGAGTGGGGTAGAACCCAAGCGTACGCCACTGATAATGATTTATGTACAACATATTATCATATCGATGTGTACGTACTCAACGTACGGTGATGTTGCGCGCTGGTAAACAAACGACCTCGGGGCCCCAGAGTAAAAAAATATTCTTTCCCATGCGATCGCTCGATACGTACTACGCCCCGACACGATGAGCTATAACGTTTCTGACGGCCACATGGTTGCCGCTGCTGCTGCTGCTGCTGTGTTTGTGCAGTTCCTTTTCGTCCACGTCAGCCGGACAAAGGGACGGAGGCGGCGCCTCCACGTAACCGCTTTCGTCGCTGTCCTCCTCGGACAACGAGTCCAGATCAACGGCGATCTTCTTGCACACGTCCGATCCACCGCTAGATATGCTCTGCAGGCTGGGCGTGGACTCGTCGTCCGGGTACCCGCAGTCTTTGTCCTCATCCAGGTCATCTAGGTCCTCGTCCTCGTCCTCCTCATCCCGACAGCTGCCCTCGAACAGCAGTTTGCGGTTCTTCACCAGGTTGTTGTGCGGGCCGATCATCTCAGGGTTCGAGCTCATCCGCTTGAAGTGATTGCGACGCCCACCGGTCGCTGCTGCGTCCCCTCCGATCGTCTCGAACAGCTTCTTCCGGTCCCGCACCAGACTGTTGTACTTGTAGCACACGTCCTCAGGACCCTGCGGACATTCCACGATCACTTCGTTGTACTTGGGCAACAACGGCCGCTTTTGCTTTTTCTGTTCCCCGAGAACCGATGATGCGGACGATTCGGACAACAACTCTTGGCCTTCCGCGACCATGTCACGGTACGACGGCAGCGACGAATCCGCCACGACGGACTGTAGTTTCACCGTGTCCGCGTCACCGGCGGCGGCAGCGGTACAACAGTCATCCCGCAGTTGCAGGCTTTCGGCCAGTCGGTTTTCGATTTCGCACTCGGTATTGACGGCGGCGACGACAGCGATCGCACCGCCGGTGGTCGTCTCGTCGGTCGCAGCCGCTGCGTTGACCGCGGCGGCGGCGGTGCCGATATCCCTGAAACCACCATACAATCCGCCCAGCCGGTTGCGCAGCGTGCCGGTGCGCAACCGGTTCTCCGCGCGGCACCGGTTCCTGGACGCCGGACACTCGGCCAGCAGCTCATCGTCCTCCTCCAGGCTCTCCTCGATGGACATGAGCCGCGGCGCCGACTTGGACCGCTCCAGCGGCGGCCTATAGTTGTGCGAGCCCGTCGACAGCAGTATTTTGCGCCGGGGCAACGACGGGTTCTCGTACACGCTGTTGGCCAGCGACAGTCGCGCGTTCTGCCTGCTAATCTTGTCACGCTTGAACTCGTTCAGCGCCTGCGCTAACCTGTTCTGCAGCTGGCCCGCGATCTGCTTGGCCACCGAGTCCTTGGAGCACACCACCGCATGGCACCGGAGCTCCTGTTTGAGTTTGCGGCCCTCGTGCCGGTACACCCAGCAAAATATGCGCGGAAACTGCGGCGACGCCAGGCAGTAGGTGACCCGGTGGCTCCAGTACTCGGTCAATCCATGCTCCTTGGTGAACGCCTTCAGGCCCGACTGTGTCACCGTCAGCTTCATGTGCACGTCCGGCTTTTGGTTGCACGTGTAGTTCTTCCACAGGCTGCACAGCGGTTTCTCTACGCACAGTTCACCTGCAATCACGGTCAAAAAACACGATCTACGTAAGTTTTTTTATTGAACAAACATTTTTTATTTTTTTATTTATTTACAACGTTCATTTTACACGTGTTGTATAATGGGTAAATTTGGTGATTTTTTTTTAACGACGAAACGATCTACGTTAGCTATCATCGTCTTCGTTACACCGTTGCATGTACAACATAATCTACGCAACATTATTTAATTCTTACACACCCTTGACCCGTTTTTTAAAATGAGCGCAGCTAAATCGTAATAGGAAACGAGCTTAGCACGAGTACACTTATCATGAGTATAATAGCGAATAGAGGAGGCAAGAGGCCTGTTCGAGTGGCAGGGTCCAGGTAGTTCACCGTACCCTATACGGGCACCCTTGTTTCAACGATGTTTCTCGACACAGTTTACGGTTCACGCGTGATTTTCGTTAATTAATGTACGCCGAGGATATACAAACAACCAGCAGTACATATGTGTTTGTAATAAAAAACAATTTATTCCCAACACCTATATGATGGTCACCACCCTTCATGCGTTATTCTCATCACGATGCCACATACTTTGTTTACTCATCTGAAATTGGCAACCGTTGTAATTGTTTTCCTTGCACGCCATTTCATTGTATTCTCACCGCGAACCGTCATCGAAAAACAAAACGTATCGCGCAAGCTAATCACGATTACCCATTTGTGCTATCCTCCGTCTGTAACTACAATATATTGTTATTGCACACGCGTGTAGATTCCAGTTCCGCGATTGAGACGTAGTCGTCGTCGTCGTAGGTGTGCTGGATGGATATTATCATAATTAATGCAATTATCCCCATTGAAATCGTACCTTCCCAACTATACTGCAATCTACTCGTAGCGTTGCAGTTCTAAGCAAAATTCGAGAAGATTATCGACAAAACATATACGACTTATATGATGTATTATATCGATATCGCATGCCGACGAGTAAAACAATACCTATCTTATATTTTGTGTACAGCATTTACGAACATCGCGGACTACTTCTCGGATTACTCATTCTTATGTATATATATATATCTTTACTCAATCGATGATTTTAAGTCAATTGTTTTTTATTTTTTTTATACAAGGCCGACCGAGTACCGTAGGAAAATATAATTTCAAAATATTCTTAGAGTATAAAATAATTAATAGGCTTATATTATACACTTTTATAGAGTCCCATAACCTAGTACATTACATATTATAACTATTACGATATATATATATATATATATATATATATATATATATATATATTTATATATTAATAGAAGAAGGTTAAAATGGCATTATATATACCTTGAGACAAGTAGCCGTTCACGTATTCACCTATAAAATAATACATTTGGACACAAATCAATGTAGTCACGGTTCACGGACAATATATATTTCAGGGGAAATTGATGAATTCCAAGGTCTCACGTTAAGAATGTACGTAAAAAAGTCGACTGCGACCAGTTAAGGAAAACAACGATCACGTTAACGTTCTGGTGTTATTTTAATCACACTCTAAAGCGTATCGACGATGATCGGGTCAGGACAAAGTTTTCCATTTCCTTTAAACATTGTCGGCTATCGTTTTTGACATACCAATGTATGAGTACGAAGATGATATTATATTATTATATTTTTTTTTATTTTCTTTTTACAATAGGATTATTCTACTTTTATACGACGTTGCATTATAAAAATTTCGTGACCCTGCTCATGTCAAATGAACGTTATTACTTTTAAGGACGATACCATTGGTACTTTTTTTTAACGAATATACTGTACATAATATGATACTTTCACAAAAGAAAATCACGTAAACTCTGACGGCAAGTATATTGACTCGATGCTCTTAAATAATTTATAAAACGTATTGGTGTTAGTTTCCACGGTCTATAAATCAATTAATATACATAATCTTAACATTAAAGGTGAAGGTCAAATATGCAATAAAAATATTAATGGTATTATTGAAAAATAATCTGACTATAGCATTCTAAAATATATCATTAAACCTATTAAATTCGAGAAGGCACACTTTAAACATCAATCATATTCTATAAATATATTCGTAGTTTCAAAATGTATATTGTTCACTCGAATAATATCATATCAAAGATTGTCGATCATCTTTAAGTTGGGTTATTTCATACAAACAAATAAAAATATAATGGATGTATATAAATACATATACATTTTTTTTTTTTTTGGTAGGTACTATGCATTTCTTAGCGTATATAATGTGCATGCATTGCTATTCGAGTCGTGCGAAAATCAATTGGAATGCGATGTGAAAGTAACCGTAGATACATACATGCCGACACTACAGAGTCGCTCAAGGAAAACCAAGTTGCTGTTAAAATGTAAGTAATTCAGTTATAGGATATTGGTTTTAAAAAATAAAATACACTTCAGAAAAATTAAAACAACATGATGAAACAATACGCGTAATTACGGCACTTTTGAATGTTGAACACATGAAGAAGATACATTAGTTCTGTAACATAGGCAGGCGTATCTACACGTCATTATCAAATAATTTTAATTAATTTAAACACGATTATTTCTTAGACAAAATCTGACCGTAAACCACCGTTATGTATGTTTTGAATATTATTAGAATTTAAACGAGTTTTCAAAATTTTTATTAATTTTAATTTGTACTAGTAATGAGTAAAATTAAGAGCAATATTTTTAGAATGAGAAATTTTTTAGACAAACGTTCTCGATTATAATTATTTACGCAATAGGAGCCCAAAAACAATATATATCTTCCTAATGAATTGGCTATATCAAAAATAAATTATGTACATACAAGAGAATAGTGCACTATATTGCAGAGCGATGGTAATAAGTGGGTCAATGAATCGGAACGTTTAAAGGGACGATCTCCAGTGGATTTAGGTTAGTACGCACATTTTTAAAATCTTATTCGATTTATGTCATGAATGAAAATATAAACATAAATTAAATCAACGAAAAATAAAAATTAAGAAATTCTTGAGTACGAAAACTAAATAAGCATTTTAATTGAACAAGGAAAATTAAACCTAATCTAAGGAGAACATCATCTGGATAGAATACCAGGTTCGTTACGCAATTGATCATATTTCGTCCGAGGAATCCACTTTCTGCCGTGTGCTAACATCGTTCGCAACGAATACGTGCACATTTGCTTCTTCTTTTGGGAGACCCGGAACTTTATAATAGCGGGTCGCATCGTTTCCAAACAGGTTCGTGATTGCAGCAATAATTTGTACGCAGCGGAGTAACGTAAAATAAAAAGCCGATCGATTAACTAGTATTAGCGGACAACTGGACGAGAAGGGAAAAACGGTTTATGGGCAATTTTTTTAAAAAAATAATAAAATAAACTAGTCTACGTTTTTACATTGCAGTTTGTATTGACGTCACTATCGTATTACTTTGCAGTTTAAACAAATGAAAAAACTGGATTTGAGAAATTATTTTGGCATTTAAAGTTTAAGCAATAATTGTTAACTTTGAGGCAACTCTCAAAGGATGAACAACCTATAACATAAATAGTAAACATAATCCCAAATGATTTAGATTATGATTATTTTCAACCCATCACTATTTCTTGTTTTCATTGGCCGATCTCATCAAAAATAAAAAATGTTCATGAATGTTTTTATCACATAAATATAATTATTGATTTAAATATTATTAAAATATTAATTAAGAAGTAATTTTATAAATAAACTGTGATTACATTTAATTTAAATACTCATAAAAAAACAGAAGAAGAATAAAATGGTATATTTTATATTATTTAAATTTTTGTAATGTTTTACTCTAAGAGGGTTGATATTTAAACAAACAAAACTAAAAATATTCCTAATCAAATTCCTGCAAAAAAATATAAAATAAAATGCTGATTCCTAGAAACACACATAAAACCGTTACAGTTGTGTGTATTAGTATTTACAGGCTTAATGATAAAGGCGTATGTTTAAATCAGGAAATACGGTACGGTGGTTTTCCGGTGTAACGTATTTTGTTGTATAGGTCTTATAAACTGTGGACATTTTGAATAATTAAATACAGGACAACACTACTTTCAGTAATAGCCAATTAACTATCAACCAAACTTGATCATTATAAAACTACTCTTTTGAAATTTTTATAGCAACATATGAATGGTCTAAAATCTATTCAATCACGAGTTCCATACAAATAATGCTATAAAATAAAATACATAGAGAAATTATTTAAAATTTAACTTAGATTGTGAATAGTTATGAAGTATTATGAACATATAATGTGATAAGATACAATTAATTTTTTTCGTTATGGTTTTATTAATTGATTTAAAATGTTAGGATATTGAATACTTATAAAATTAATTAAATGTATATAAATGTATATATGCTTCGGCTATAGCGTATTTGTTAAATTATTTTTCAAACTGTAACTATTTGGTAATAATAAAATTATTTCTACTTTATAGTAATGACCAGAAAAATTATCTAACATACAAGTATCAATAGCTTTAATTACATTAAAATATTAAAATCTGTTGTTGTCTGTATATCAGGGTATATAATTCCAATTTGAATTATCCAGTTTATTGTCACCCCTACACAACAATGCTTTCATAGAAGTTTATCTTAACTTCTCTTTTAGATGGACCGGTTTTACACTACATTCAAGTTACCTTACACGGTTAAACGGCCCCTGTTAGTCTGATCCGTTGAAGTGGACGACCTTGATCTCCTCGTTAGACTGCACTTTCGCACATTGATATCATTGCGGAAAACTATAATGATCACAGACTTTAACGAGAACTATTTTATACTCTTTGTTTACATTTCAAATTGAATTATCTATGGTTTTACAGTTTCGTTATTAATGATACACAAATAACATTTATTTTTCCGGGAGCACCTGGTTCCATGTCAGTGATTATATGGGTCGTAGAGTACGAGTAATTTTGTATGGTAGTACCTAATTAATATTTCGACCATTAA